CCATTAGTGTGTTCTGACACTAAGGTCAGGCCCATATATGAAATTCATCTAGAGCCAGGTCTGGTACAAAAACCTCACCAATTGAGACCATTTGTGTTCAATCTCCTCAATCAAATTAATCAAATCTCCTCAATAGGAAAAAAAATAATCCCCTTCAAGGATTAATATGAAATGCCTGGATATTTCCTTTTATATGATTTGGGGTTTATCACTTCATGGTATGCAAAACTCTTTTGTGTATTTCGCTGTTAGACTTTTGCTTAGGAAACGTGAAACCTTCACCCAACCACAAACCATACACACTGCTCCATGGTCTCTTTTACACTGAGTCTCCTACTGAATCCAAATCATCCGAAGAGAGGGGGCGATACAGGTCCTGTAAGACGAAGGGCGGTACAGACTTGTTTACTTGGGTTTCTTGGGTGCCCTGTGGTTCTCTTAGGAGTGGAGCAACACCAAATGGGCATCCTTGGTTTCTAATGTCGTTAGACCTTCTAAAGTCACCACGTTTGGCTAAGAGGAAAGATCATAACTGAGAAGCCATCTAGACAGATGAAAAGGATGCTATTTTGCCTTCCTGGCTGGAGCTGCTCGTGAGCTTTCGCCTTCCTCTGTGTCGAGTTCTACGGCACCTGAGTGCCAACCTGCTACTGTGTGTCAAGGAAGTTCTTCCTCAAACACTTCCATCCCATTCTGGGAAGAAGAGGAACACGCTTACCTCACACAGTAATTTATTAGGCGCCCCAGCGGGCATTCAGCAAATTCCGGTCCCACAGCAGCAACCCAAGGGTTGCATTTGTGTACCGCATACACCCAATAAACACTGCGTTTTCAAAACAATATGTTTGGAAGACAGAAAGAATGCGAACCTGACCTCCTCGCTCCCTTCTCAAGTTCTCCCTGGTTACCTAAAGGCTCACCCATCACCTCCCCTCTTCTTCCCTCTGCCTCCTCCTGCTGCAAGATCCTTCTGCTGGTCGCCAGGCAACCAGCTCAGATCTGCAGAGAGTGTCTAGAATCCTGGCTTCCTTTCTAATTTGAACCACCCACTCCTCACATCATCTGACGGATCAGATAATCTACAAAAGTCAGCCATGTGGGAGTATAATGGGGAGCTTCATTCGACCCACACAATGCAACACGTTTCTTCCTGATATATTAAGGAATGAGACCCCAGAAAAGTTCATGGATAGAAGAGATTCTCCAGGATCTGCTTCTGTGACCAAATGCTTCTAGACAGCAATTTAAATGACAGTGTTTAGGAAAAATAGGACAGTTACTTGGTACACGGCCACTTGGGTTTTCATGAAGAAAAGTGGTGTGCAGATTCCTATTGTATAGGACTATTCTAAAGTATGGAAGGAGGTAACAAAATATAATTTTAAACGAAGGGAAAAAAGCTGATTAAACCATCATAAATGATATAAATAAAAATATAGATTTTATTTGTGAAAAAGTCAAATGTCTCAATAATCCTTAAAAAAAAAAGCAACTTACATTCCTGTGTTTCAAAATGAGGTAGGAAGTGTGAGTGTGTGTGAATGTAAGTGTGTGAGTGTGTGTGAGTGTGTGTGTGTCTGTTAGTGTGTGTGTGTGTGTGTGTGTGAGAGTGTGTGTGTGTGTGTGTGTGTGTGTGTGTCTGTTGGGGAGAGAAGCAGCCAACTCATTTTCCTGGCCATGTTGCTAGGCAACACAGAAGGAAAAATAAAAGTAGCAATGTCCGTATATTAAAAGATCAGTAAATTATAGTCCTTGAGAGAATCCATAACATCTCAGCCACAAAATTGAATTAATGGGGAGCTTCATTCGACCCACACAATGCAACACGTTTCTTCCTGATACATTAAGGAATGAGACCCCAGAAAAGTTCATGGATAGAAGAGATTCTCCAGGATCTGCTTCTGTGACCAAACGCTTCTAGACAGCAATTTAAATGACAGTGTTTAGGAAAAATAGGACAGTTACTTGGTACACGGCCACTGGGGTTTTCATGAAGAAAAGTATCTGGTGTGCATATTCCTATTGTATAGGGCTATTCTAAAGTATGGAAGGAGGTAACAAAATATAATTTTAAATGAAGGGAAAAAAGCTGATTAAACCATCATAAATGATATAAATAAAAATATAGATTTTATTTGTGAAAAAGCAGTCAAATGTCTCAATAATCCTTAAAAAAAAAAAAGCAACTTACATTCCTGTGTTTCAAAATGAGGTAGGAAGTGTGAGTGTGTGTGAATGTAAGTGTGTGAGTGTGTGTGTGTGTGTGTGTGTGTGTGAGTGTGTGTGTGTGTGTGTGTGTGTTGGGGAGAGAAGCAGCCAACTCATTTTCCTGGCCATGTTGCTAGGCAACACAGAAGGAAAAATAAAAGTAGCTACTGTTTTCCAATTTGCAATAAAAAGAGTTATATTTATTCTTTGAAGTGTCTTCTTTTAGCACTTGCCATCTTTCACTTATTTCAGTATTTCCTGCATAGGAGTACAGCCAACCATTTGAGAAGAATATTAACCAAATTTGAAACAGGATCAGTTTTTAGGGATATTCTAGGCTCATTTTAACTGGGAGGGATTATTTGATGTAGTTGCCGCCACACCAAGATGAAAGCTCCTCTCACTAAAGCAGCTGGGAATGTTTCCACTCGTTGACATGGTACATGGATGGAGGATGTTCATTTATGGCCTAAATTCAAAAGCCTGGAAACTGAACCATCTCTAAACTATCTCATGCTCTGCTCACAACATGTGTTTAATAACTGTTTTCAGAGGATGATAAACCTTTGTCTCCTTAAAACAGGCAGGACTGTTTTTTCCCTCTCAAGTATGGGGCTGGCACTGGTAGCTTAAATGACAAAATTAAGACTCTCTAAGAGGACCATACCTTATAATTACTTCCCAAGTGCTGGCAGTGTTAATTACATAAGCCACTGGCCACACAGCTGCTAGGAGTTGGATGGAAATTTTCTGCCTCAGTTGGACAGAGTCATACCGAAGTAGGGAATACAGAGAGAAGCAGCAGCACATTCTAACCTCATTTGCCAACAAATGGACAGCTGTGCCAAGCGTTTTATGTCCCCAAGATGGAAGTCTCCTCCATATAGCCAGCAGGAGAGACGCTCAGGTTGCTAGCAGGGAGTCTCAAACACTCTAATTGAACACACTAACCTCGACAACTAAGCATGAGCTGAATCCTGAATCTAATGTAATTAATCCAGAAGATGACGAGAGATTTCAATGCCAGGTGTACTCTCCAGGGTATGCACTTCAAATGAGAAACTGTTCTATGCAATAGGGCCCCAGCTGACCTATTGTTTTCTAAATTAGAAGTTTACTTTTGTTTTATTTTTTGGCCTTGCTGTGGGGCATACAGGATCTTAGTTCCCCAGCGAGGCATCGAACCCATGCTCCCTGCATTGGGTGCATGGAGTCTTAACCACTGCACCACCAGGGAAGTAAGTCCCTGTCCTATTTCCAAAGGCCTGCCCCTATAGATGGGGGCCTCGCTGGGTAACATTTATGAGAAAAGAACCACTCATTACCCCTTCCTCCACTCAACCATAGACATCTGAGAGATTAAATGAATCTGGACTTTCTTCTTCTAGCAGGTCACTAATGATTTCTATACTTTAAAATGCCAAATTATATTGTGACCAAGAAGAAAGCATAGGTATAGCACTCAGATGGAAGTAGAGTAGAATGATAGTGTTTTCTATCTGGAAAGAGTCTTTTGTTTTTTGACTGGGGCCTGGAGAGGACCGCAGACTTACCTATGATAACACAGCCATTTAGTAGAGGAACTGGTGCCCAGCTCCAGGCCTCACTGGATCATCTAAACAAGCTGGACCTGCTATTCGTAGGTTCAGTGGAGCAGGATGATACAACCTGCTGTGTTGGCAGGCCAGGCTCCAAATGGATTAGGGGTTGACTCAAGTCCCCTGCCTGCCACTTTAGAGGGTGTGTGAACACAACCTTGGCAGGATGCTTGCAAAGGGGTCCTTCCCTCTTGGAGGCAGTGTAAATGTATGGAACATAGAAGTCTCATTTTAAAGCACACACGACAAGAGATCAAATTCAAGAATCCAGGTTTGAGTTCAAAAGTTGTCAAGGAGCCTCACCTATTAAAATATTCAGGGAACAGCATCCTCAGAGTTTCTACGAGCACACATCCCTCCCCACCTTGCCTGTAAAATCAGGACTCTGAAAGGTCCCCTGTTGCCTCCACTGTACCATCTGCCTCCTCCCCATCCCACTACTTTTATTCTTGCCTCGATCCTACTGGAAAGGATAAATCAGGTTGTGAGCGGATCCAAATAGCAGCTCTCCCATCCAGAAAGAAGAGCTAACCCCTAGCCTCTCCCTTAGCAATGGAGAAACTAACACCATTTCTGGTAGCTTTTGACTCTGATCTCCAAACTCAATCAATATCTCCATTATAACACAAGAAGCTACAAGAAACGTGCAGGTCGTGATGAAAGATAAGGTGCTTGGTGTGGGTTTCAACAAAAACACAGGTCACACGTACCCATCACACATACAGCACAGACCCTCAGTGGCTCTGGATCACTATCCTCTGCCATAAAGCAAGTCCCTCCAGGGCCCGCCCACCTCTCCCAACCAGGCACTTTCCCTTCTTAAGGAAGGCTGGTGACCAGCGATGAGGCCTCCAGTGAAAATCCTGATAGTCCAGGAAGTTTATAAACCAGTGCCATTAAAATCTTTGTGCATTCTAGACAAAAAGAGAAAGGTGTTTAAAAGTGAAGCAGCAACTGTCTATTCTTCTTGGAATGAAGATCAGGACAAGTTTTACCAGGAAACTTAAGGTCCCAAGTCCTAGCTAAGAGAAACCAGAGCCAAAACCAGTGACCCACTGTCGGTCACCTCCTGCCCTCACCTGGTTCTTCCTTAGTGATAAGCAGCCCCAACTCGAGAGGGCTGTTTGCTGGCACCATGCCATCTGCACCAAGACATGGACAGGTCTTAAACAAGGAGTTCGCTTATTCTCTTACCCTCTGCTTCCGCAGGCTTCCGGGGCTGGTGGGTGATGGGCTAGGAGACTTGCCCGAGCGCGGAGTAGAGAGCTGACTACCCGGGGTTCCATTAACTGGAAGCACAGAGAATCACAGAGAGAAAAAAAAAAAAAAGGCTTATTAAAGAATTCTCCTGACAACTCAGCTTCACAGAGCAATAAACAATTAAAGAGGGACATTTGCTAAAATTCCAGACACCTTTTTATCTACAGTCCTGAACACTAGCTTCAGGGAGAAACCTTCTTCAGAAATTCACTTGTTTTGTGAATTCTGTGTTAAATATAGCAGCAGGTTACATAGGAAAAAAAATGTACTTTGCACAGCTTTTCTGATGATTTATTAATGATGCTTTTAACTGTGCTCACAGAGATCTTAGGCGTGTGATTCTGAGACATTTTTCAATGGAATTCATGCTTAATTCTTTAGTTTAGCTTCCTAGTACAAGCCAGTGGGAGTAAGTATTAGCACAGCTCATAAGCGATATTCCCAGTGACATGTGAAAGCAGATTGCTGTCTTTTTAAGAGTTAAGCACTCAAGTCTAGTTAAGTTCCTGCATCCACTTGTGCCCTGTACATCCCTCAGCCTAACTTGGAAGGACCTGCCTCCAGCAGGACGAAGTAATTGGCACAAAGACTCAGAAACTCCTCACAGTTAGTTTTCCTGCTGTTGAAGATAAAACTGTTTTTTTTTTTTTCTTTTAAATAGGTTTAAATCACCAGAATCAACCTGTCTCTCAAGACTGCTACATATTATCCCTAGACTGAATCAAAGTCACAGAACTCAAGTAAGTCATCCTTTTCTCTTTGTAACAGTCCCTCTAAGAACTGATAAAACACTTAAAGACCTGAGTCTACAAAGATGTATCGAGTCGCCACTATTCTGCCTGTAAAAATGTCAACTTTTCTTTTGTTAGATGTTTTACATCCACAGCCAAGGAAGTAGGGTTAGCAGTGAGACACACATATTCTCCAGGGTTCAACATAAACATTTTTCCATGAGGGAGAGAGCGATCATGCATTTAACTTACCTTCTATGAGTTCTAACATGGACACAGTCTCAGTGTCTAACCTGACAAGAGCAAGAGGCGAAATCCCTTCTCAGCACTAAACCCAGCACCGCGGAGGGAGGAGGAGGGAAGCGGCTGGATTAGTTAAGGATGGCTAAGGCTGCTCCCAGAGCAGGCTGAATGAGATGCAGGATTCATCAGCAGATGCCTTTCCTGCGTAAGGCTGACGTCTTCCAGGCAGCAGTGGGTGGTGCGGGTTCTGTCTTAGGCTACATCAAAGGTGTCGATTAAGCCTCATGCCAACGCGGAACCACCACAACCCCCACCGCACCACGGACTCCCGGAAGCCGAGTCCTTTCAGCGTGTTCCACACTGAATCACAGCCAAGTGCCTCTGGGGGCAAGAGACCCAGTGATTCATATGAAAATCAAAATGACAAGACCTCTTTCGAAGCCTGGTGACTCTCCGGGAACAGGGGTAATAAGTCCACCCTCAGAAAATTCAGTGGCGAGGTACATGTTTATTGATTTTTCACACACAATGTTTGCACCAAACCTCAGGCCCATGGATGTGGGAAGTTCCCTGTTTTGTCATCTTCTCCAAAGACCTTTAACAAATGTCACAGAGCTCATGCGGTACTAATTTCTGTTTTGCCTTTGAAATTTATTTGGTGACTCCATCGAAAACACACGCAACCACACACATTTTTTTTTAAACAGATTGAAGTAGGAAGCCCTGAGAATGCTTTGATTTGCGTGCCTTCTCTGGTCCTGTCTTTGTTGAATGGGCCTGCTGCCTAGGCCTCCCGGCACGGCCCTGCCCAGCCAGTGACTCTAACAGGAAGGGGTCTGAAACAGGCAAGGACTCGGGAACTCTGGGCAGAGGCAGAATGTACAGCTAATAAGGCAGGAGATCCCCTAGGGTTGACTGGCAAACAGGCTCTGGGAATATCATCTTTGCCCACATTCTACATCACTTTACATCTTTACATCACCCCTACGCAGATTGGGGGAAAAATGAGCAAATGGGAAAGCAAACACAGTACTCACATTTTTTACTTTTGGGACTCTAATCTTAGCCAGTGGAACATTAAAAAAAAAAAAAAGATAAAGTGCATGCCCAGTAAAACTGATTTAGGAATAGTCAGCTTAAAACAGCAAAACAAAACAACAACAAAAAGTCTGCATCTACTAAATACTCACTATGCATGCATCTCAGCTTATCGAAGACTTATTTTCCATGGACTAGTTAATACACTTAAACCTTTTATATATATACACATATATGTATACACAGAGCTTCCCAGGTGGCTCAGTGGTCAAGAATCCACCTGCCAATGTAGGAGACCCGGATTCCATCTCTGGGTCAGGAAGATCCCCTGGAGGAGGGCACAGCAACCCACTCCAGTATTCTTGCCTGGGAAATCTCAGGGATGGAGGAGCCCACCCGGCTATAGTCCATGGGGTCACAAGGAGCTGGACATCGCTGAGCAGCTGAGCATGCATGCACCTACTGTCTATTTGCGCATGTGCGCACACACACAGTACTGTCTCACTGAACTCTCAGGGTAACTCTGTGAGGCAAGCAGCATAAAGATGATAACGTGACCAGTGAATACAGGGTGGAGCTGAAATCTGTGTACTCTTTACCCCCACCTTCCCTACAACACCAGCCTTCTAATCTGAAGGAAAACTACACAACTCAACTCGAAATCACAACCAAGCATTCTGAGAGGGGGAGCACTGGGGGTTGCTCTTGACCCCCAATCACCTATGGGGTCAAGACTAGCCTACACCCTATACAGAGAGGGTAGCATGTAGTGAAGTCAGATCCTAAGTATTAGTAGCAGTTGGCCAGGTAAGTAAGGTAAGCGCTCCAAGGCAAGAGGACCACCTGTTTCATGGCTGGACATGGAGGAGGGAGCAAGCGTGGCACTTGAAGGGACCCCAACAGGTGAGCATAGCAGCAAGTGCTTATGAATGAGGATGGAGGAGGCGGCAGGGGTCACATAATGCAGGGTTTCGAAATTCAAGTTAAGGAGTCTGGTTTTTATCCAAAGCACCATGAGAAGCTATTGAATGATTTTAAGCTGGAACCCAGGGGATCAGACCTGCATTTTAAAAAGTTCTGAAGAGCTCTTAAGCTGTCAAGAATGGATGAGAGGAGAACAGTAACAGGAACAGGACATCCCTTAGTCAAAAGTCCAAGTGGGAGAGACTGGGGCACATTTAAGGGTCTTGTGGTCAAGAGATGGGGTGGCTCTATCTTGGGTAGTGCAGTGGAGGTGGAGGGAAATAGAAACATTTTAGAGAGATTAAAAAAGTAAAAACTATAGGACATGGTAATCAATTGGTGAAAAGGATTAAGGCTAGAAGATTAAAGTGAAAGTCCCTCAGTCATGTCCAACTCTTTGTGACCCCATGGACTTAGCCCGCCAGGCTCCTCTGTCCATGGAATTCTCCAGGCAAGTTTCCTGGAGTGGGTAGCCATTCACGTCTCCAGGGGATCTTCCCAACTCAGGCATCGAACCCAGGTCTCCAGTCTGCAGGCGGATTTTTTATTTTCTGAGCCACCAGGGAAGAGACTTAAGACTCAACATGAAAAAAAAACAAAGATCAAGGTATCTGATCCATCACTTCGCGGCAAATAGAAAGGGAACAAGTGGAAGCAGTGACAGATTTTATTTTCTTGGGCTTCCAAATCACTGCCGATAGCGACTGCAGTCATGAAATTAAAAGACGCTCCTTGGAAGAAAAGCTATGACAAACCTAGCCAGCATATTAAAAAGCAGAGACATCACTTTGCTGACAAAGGTCCATATTAGTCAAAGCTATTTGTTTTTCCAGTAGTCATGTACAGATGTGAGAGCTGGACCAGAAAGAAGGCTGAGTGCCAAAGAATTGATGTTTTTGAACTGTGGGGCTGGAGAAGACTCTTGAGAGTCCCTTGGACAGCAAGAAGATCAAACCAGTTCATCCTAAAGGAAATCAGCCCTGAACATTCACTGGAGGGACTGAGGCTGAAGCTGAAGCTCCAATACTTTGGCCACCTGATGCGAAGAGCTGACTCACCAGAAAAGACCCTGATGCTGGGAAAGGTTGAGGGCAGGAGGAGAAGGCAGTGGCAGAGGATGAGATGGTTTGATAGCATCACCAACTCAATGTACATGAATTTGAGCAAACTTCAGGAGATAGTGAAGGACAAGCATCATTGTATGTATCTTGATATACATGGCTGGCATAAAAAAAGAAAAAAATTTATATTGCAAATTGGTGTCATTTTTGCAGTGTGATATGAGGAAACTGAGGTTCAGAGAGGTAACCTGTCGAAAGACAAGTAGATGAAAGGTGGGAGAGCTAGAAATGAGTCTCATTCATGTTCTACTCAAAGAACTGCATACTTTTCCCATGAGTGCCCAGCTCATCAGAATACGTCCAGGTCTATTGCGTCCTGTCTGCGGAGCTGAGAATGTATAGGCTTCTCTCTCACTGGGGCATTCGAATCTGCCTCCTTTATTTATAGCCACTGGACTCACAGCTTCTACTTATCTTGCCATCTCTCAGGAGAAATGAAGTTCAAGTGCCAAACAAGTCATTGACAGTGAAACATTTTTGGAACACAATCTGCTTGTAAGTTGGGATCGACCTGTACTGTTAAGGTCAGAGTTCTGTAGAGATTCTTCCTCTTGGCCACTTAAAAAGCACCATCAACTTCTTAAATTGGTTCTTGACCTCCAGAAAACATCATACTCCTCATCCTGCTAGGATAAGTAATTTTGTCTCATAAGTAAAGTTGACACATGTATTGAGACCCATTGTTTTTTAATCCTGTACTACCAGAAATCCCTGAGTGCCAATTTAAAAAAAGGGTTTTTTCATTTATTTAACAGAACTCATTAAAATTCAACTAACAAATGGTATTACAGAGGCCTTTATTAAGCCATTCATTATTTCGAATAGGAAAAATCCAACTTCATATGATTGTTTCTAAATGGCCAAGCAGGGCCAACAATCAGTTATCTCAGTTGGAAGTCACTAACCTAGATAGCATATTAAAAAGCAGAGACA